GGGTGACAATAATGGTCCTAAATTCTTGGAGTTGTGAGAATTCACTGAAGTTGGTTAGCACAAGGATAAATACTCAGAGTTTTCCAATATCAGTGTTAATATTAATACTGGTTTGCGTCAGGTAGCAGATAGTCATGAAATGTTAATTACTTCTGTGGTTCCATTCCACTTATCACATTTTATTTTTATTTTTTTATTCATTCATTCCAACTTTATCGAGATATGGTTGACAAATAAAAGTATATATTTAAGGGGTATAATGTGATGTTTTAATATACATATACATTGTGAAATGAATATAGCAATCAACTTAATTAACACATCCATCAACTTGGAGGACTGAAACATTCAATTTGGCAGTTATAGTTCTCATGGCAAATGAGGCTACTGGTGTCCCTGGCTTACATGTCACTCTTTTGTGAGTGTGATTGATCTGAGTCAGTCTACTTCAGTCCAACCCAATGCTTGGATGACATCCAGTTTCTATACTTGCAAAGCTAATGGCCTCAGACCCTGATTGCCTGATTGTCACTCTGAGAGATCCAAACCCTTTCCTTTCTGGTATCTCTCTCCTCTACACACAACTGCAACGAAATCCAGATTTAGGAGCTTAGGAAATACAGTGATATATTTTGTTATAGTCATTCAATTATATCACCACAGTTTTTACCAGCTATTGCTATTCATAGTCTTATGTTTTATTTGTTTAATTTTCAGTTATTTTGCAAAGGACACTTTAGGTTTTCTAAAAAATATCTCTCTCTCTCTCTCTCTCTCTCTTTATCTACATCTATACTATCTCTATATATGTGTGTGTATGTGTGTATATGTGTATATATACGAGTATATGTGTATCTCCATACACACAGATATTGTGCAGCTCCTCCTTTATTGTCTGACACCCTGGAGATTAGTGGTCATAACTGGTGGCTCCTTTTCCTGGAGCACTTCTTTCATTAGGATCCTCCCTTCCTTCCCACTCAGAGTTGGGAAAGTGTCTAACAACCCCCTGCTCGCCTGAGCACTGAGTGGAATGTGAGCTGCCTGGGGACCTGAAGCTGAGTTACACCTCGCCTATGATGATTGTCTCTGTCCATTTAAGGTCCACTTATCTTGAGCCCTCAGCTTAGTGAGAGCAGAGTTGTTCCACTTGGAGGGAAGTTTCCCGTGTCATAAGCGGAGGTAGGGGAGCATATTGCGAAACCAGCTGCCATGAAATTGAATTACAGGTGTCGTATTCTCCCTGCCCGAAATTGCTCCATTTTACCATGGGCCTTTCTGTTTGTTTGGAACAAATAACTGCAATTTACTAGGATGCTAAGAGATGAGGGTATAAGCAGTGAGAGGTTGTTTAAGGTTTCCATAATGATGGAAAATTACTCCTATCCATTTCAAGTATGGTTTCTCTCGCGAGCCACCACATTTAAATGGGAAGGGAGGAAATGCCTCACTTTTTTAATACTCTTCTCTCGGCACAATGCTCTTTAAAGGCGCTCCAGGTTTCTGTAATGTTCTTAACCACACACCCTATCAGTTTTATTTATTATCCTGTGGAATATGTTCAGTAATGACTTCTGAGGCGGCCAGGAGTGAATGGACAATTTGCTTTCACTGCCTCGATCTCCTCAACCCATTTCCTCTTAATTTGGTGGAGATGGTGTGGAGATTCTAGAAAAAGGAGTCACAGAAATGCTTGAAGGAGGAAAGCTCCAAGACACCTTTTTTCTGCCTCATAATTGAACATTGTCAGGAGTTATTTCTGTGTCTCACCTCCTTTCTTCAATGCATTTTAGCTTTCCAAGGAGCATTATTGTTTTCAAGAGGAAATGGGAATGATTTTAAAGGTTTTTTGTTTTTTCCTGGGACTGTTCACACACAAATAAACTGCCTCAAAATTACAAGGTGGTTGGGATGAGGTGGTGAATGGTGATCATTTTTATATGAAACAGGCATTAAAGTGTTCATCACTTTGTCAGAGACAAACAAAAGCACTGTAGGAGGTTGATTAAAATATGTAATTTTTGGGCCGGCCGAGTGACGCGTTGGTTAAGAATTGGCTTGGGAAACCAGAGGGCCCCGGTTTAGATCCCACATACTAGGGCCAGTGACGCTGCCCTCTACAGCTAAGATGCTGAACAACAGTTCAACCTGGAGCTGGGTTGCCGTGAGTCACCGGTGGCGTAGGCTGCAGCCCCTGCTGCAGTGGGTTGCCATGGGCTACCGTGTGTAGCCAGCAGCCAGCGTGAGCGGCCGTCCAGAAGCCGGCGACTGATCTGCCTCGCCCGGGAAGAGCGCAATGATGGTGCCAACTTGGGCCAGTGAAGCAACATCCTCCACAACTAGACTGAAGAACAAAAGGACAGCAACTTGTCTGTTCCCCTTCCCCCAATTCCCCAGCACTGTTCCCATCCCCCAATTCCTCAATAAAAATCTTTAAAAAAAAAGAATATGTAATTTTTGTGGATGATCTAAATTTAAAAATAAATTGCCAAGTTTCCTAAATGATAACTGTCTGTCAATAATATTTGAGACACTTCTCATGAAAGGAAACTTAGAATTAGGCTGGTGGGGGGGATTTATTAAGTGGCTCATGGTACATTGGTGTTTTTAAACTCATTTCTGAATTACTTATGCTTTTAGGTAATTTTTTTACTATGCATATATAAATGAATACATTCTTTTTGTAAAATTTCCATAATGAACAACAGAGGAATATTATACCTGCATCCCCACCCTCCCACTTATTCCTTGTCTCATTAATACTAACTAGATATATGTATATCTTCCAGATGTTTTCGCATGAAGGCATGAATGCAAATTGATGCAAATAGTACTGTACAGTTTTACTTTGTGATTATTTTAAGTAAATGAGGTCATATTTTATTATTTTTTCTGTAGCTTGTTTTTTCACTTAACACTATATTTTGTAGATATATTCACATTAATACATATAAATCTAGATCATTCTTTTTTATTGCTTAATATTACTTCATGATGTGGATCTACCACAATCTATTTAACATATTTATAGACATTTAAGTTGCATTGCTTTGCTTTGTGTATGCTAGATCTGTAGGGTAGACATCTAGTTTTTATTTGCAACACAACACTGTTGGAACCTGATGACTGGTCATCCTGGACTAACCCATGGCTTATATAGAAAACGCTAACTGATATAAGTTGCGAGAGCAGGTGGATTTTTGCCCATGGGGTTGTGTTGGATAAGGTGTTAAGTTAGAATTAAAACCTACTGGTAATTCGTAAGTGTTGTTTGCCTGTAAGGAACCCTGCAGAGCTGAACAAGCACATGTCAAGATGTGAGAGAACAGCAACAATTAAAAAGAAAAAGCAAATAGAAGAATTCATGATAAGCAACATTTGGATTGTTTACCATTTTGACAAGTGGCTCTTATTTTAGAAAAAAGAAAGTTTTGTTCATTGTCTTTGTAAGTCTTTTAGAAAAAGGTCACACATATACACACGTCCGCACATACATATGTGCACACACACAATGTGGGTTCGCTTGGTAACATCACAGGACTCAGGCCGTTCAGAGGCAGAGCCTCAAATAGTCAAGGAGCAACAGTCCCAATCTAGAGCAATCTGTCTGCGAGACACCCCGTTCACCTAGGACAATAGGTGACCTGCAGAGAGCACCCGTATTCTCCTCTCCCAGCCCCCAGCCCATTTCACCTATCAGCTCACGCATCCTCTGTCAGAATGACCATGGTATTCCATAATATGGATGCAGTGCAATTTATTTTCACTTATTGATAGACATTTAGGTTGCATTATTTTGCTTTTACCAAAGAAGGTGTTGCCGTGAACAGCTGTGTATATGTATTTATGTGCATTGTGCACCAGATCTCTAGGGTAGAGATAGTGACCTTTTGTTTTCAGGCTCTAGTTTCTCCCAGTGGCGTTGATTGTGCAATAACCATCATTCTCTACTTGATAACAGCTAAACCACTGTCATTTCTTAGGGCATTCAGATGCTAAACATTTAACACATATTAATTTGTTTACTCATTAGTTAGTAAATATGGATAGAAAGTAAATCCTGCGCTAAATACAATTCTAAGTGCTGGAGATACAGCAGTAAACACAGTAAAGTTTCTGGCCTCACGGAGGATCCATTGTAGTAGAGAATCTCAGACAACAAACAGATAAATAACTGCTACTATAGATTGTTAATACAAATTGCTATGGAGAAAAATAAAGCAGAAAATGATGAGGGATGCTAATTATATAGGGTTGTCAGGTAGGACTTTTCTGAGGGCTGTCATTTGAGCAAGAATTTTAATGATGTAAATATATCATGGATTTTATACATGTATACATGTGGGTTACATATGTTTGTGTATATCACCTGCAAGGACATCTTCGCTGCCCCTCTTTTACAGGTTAGTAAGCTGTTGCTTAGGGAGATGAAGTGTGTATTATAAATGTTTTTCAGGCCTTTTGAGCATTTTGAGCCTTGCCTCTGCTCGGGGCCTGCTGCAAACTCTTTGGAGTGTACTTTCTTTCCTAATAATGATGCCCTGGCCCTGGGCCCCTTGGGCCTGTTGAGCTTTCTTTGCTCGGTTTGCTCTAAACTCTTCGGAGTGTACTTTCTTTTCTAATAATGGCCCTAGAGCCATTCTCTACTGCTTGGGCCTGCTTCTAGTTGTTTGAAATGTATTTTTACTTCTAATAAACTCCTTTTCTGCTACTTTAAAAAAAAAAAAAGAAAGAAATGTTTTTCAGTAGCAAGTAATAGAGCATCCATCTACCAGTGACCTAAACAAATGGGAGTTAATTTTCCTACCATGACAAGAACTGGGCAGGAGGCAGCTACTTGCTCCGATTAGGCAACTCAATGACGTCAGAGCCAGCATTTTTCTGATGCTCTCAGCCTTCTCCTCCTGGACTTAGCATGGCTTCCACAGGCATTGTGTCTACTTGCCAGGCAGGAGCAAGCAATGAAGAAAAACACCGATTTTCTCTGTCTCTTTTATCAGGAAAGAAAGTAGGCTCGGCAGATTTTCTCCGTCATCTTGTTGGGAAGATCAGTGTCCCCCGGCTGCTCCTGGCTGTGAGGAAGACTGAGGCAAAGTGAGTATTCTGTTTTTGTAATTTCTTTTAATGGAGAAAGTAAGGGAGGAAGTAAAAGTGAGTGTTGGGGTAATATTTGCTTCACCATGAGTTATATACCCAACAGCCCATGTCTAGCAAGCCAGGTGTGCCTGGCCGCAGAGTTCTGCTCTCTAATTTATCTTTATCTGATTCATTTGGGGTAGTCATTGTCTCTTACAGGTCTGGAGGAGGTGAGTAATGGTAGTGACAGCTCCTACTGAAATACTAGTAGCAGTACCATATAGGAGATTACAACAAAATTTTGGTTGCTGTGTGGTTGATATTGGCAATACCACACTGTACTGTTTTAAGTATAATGTGCAGGCATTGAAATTTGTCTGGCAAAACTTTTCCTGTGATTGGTCCCTTGTTTCATAAGAGTTTGTCTATGATTACTGTAAATCCCTGCGATTGAGTGGTTGCAAATCCTGTGACCACAGACATGCTTGCAGATGCAACTTAGGTATGGGGTCACAGGGAAAATAGTGAAGTAAATAATTTATCTTCTGAAGAAATACTGACATAGTATTCCTGGGGGGTTGTCCAGAGTCAGAGTCCTTCATACCTGTTTAGTGTCCTTCAGTTTACTGTTGTTTTTACCTGCACTGACTCATTTGTTTTGCTATCCTGGGAGATAATACAGGAATCATTGTTGCCACCCTACCCGGGTAAAGTGATACCTAGAAAAAACAAAATGACTTTCAATATTAAAACAAACTTAACATTTTCTAATCACATGTTCCTAGGTAATATTAAAAGTTCTTCAGTAGCATTGTTAAAGAAGATTCAATTGCTCCCCTTCAAATAGATGACTGCCTCTAATTCCCTCCTGTGTAGAAATTCTGAACTGTCTTTGGTTAGATATAGAATGATCATTCCTAGAATATATGTCAGTTCACTCAATGTAGCATATTGTAAAAGCCTTTCAAAGTGAAATGATTAGATTAAGTCATTTAAAAATATTTTCTGTACATTTTGAATTGAAGAAAAGAATAATACATGTTAATTGTCAAAGATACAAACAATACAAAAATTTTACACCGCACAGTGAAATTTCTCGTTAGTCACCACTTCAAAAGATCACCACAATTAGCAGATTCATTTATATCCTTTTGGACATTTTTCAATAACCATTTGCAATGGTTATTATTTTTGTAATAATTATTGTTAATGGAATAGGATAGGGTTTTACAACTTCTGCTGCCTAACTGTATTTTATGAACAATATATTGTGATCTTTTCATACTCGTATACTTATAACCACCTGTTTTTAATACATAGTATTTTATTTAGAAATGAATTATAATTATTATAGCCAATCCCCTAATGACAATTTAGTTTTTTCCCAAAACATTTTATATTATTATGAGCATTCTTGAACATATCTATGTATCTTTAAGCAGATATTTAATATTTCCTTGTGAAAAACACCTGGAAGTGGTATTGATTAATGAGAAGGTAGGCACATTTAAAATTTTATATATATTACAAAATTACCCTACAGGAGCAGTGTACAAGAGTGCCTTTTCCCTACATTCTTACTGGACTGGGTATTATGCATTTTTCATCCTTGTTAATCTGAAAGACAAATCAGTGATATGTCCATTTTAATTTGCATTTCTTAGATTAACAGTGAATTTAAGAATCTTGAATATGATTGTTGGTCACGATTTCTTTTGTCATCTTTATGCTCTTAGCCCCTTTTTCACTTAGATTGGTTTTGGATTTTTTTGATGACATTCTTTAGATAGTATAGATGGTAACCCTTCATGTCACCTATTTTGTCATCCCCCCCCCACTTTGTCTTTTAACTGTGTTTATGGTATCTTTTGCTATATCAACTTTAAAATTTTTATATAGTCAAATATGTAGTTTTGTTTCTTTTTTTTTTTCTTTCATCGTTTTGGGTCTTAGGTCAATGGAAAGTCAGAAGCAGTCTGAATATACAGTATTTCAGGTTGGAAACCCACTCTGAGTGGAGCTTTGGCAATGTGGGAGCTCGTCAGACTTGACTAATTATCATTCTGTGGCTGATATTTACCCACGCCCATATGCACTGTGGTCCAAACCAGGATTTAATAACCCATAGCGTGTTTGCACAGCCTTCCTCATTTTCTAACCATTTAACATTAGTTCTGAAAGATGAATGACTCAGTTTTTACTGTAGTCCCCTGTGAATCAGGCTGTACCCTGAGAAGGCTTTTCAGGGAGGGTCCGTGGCTCAGTCACAGCAGCACAGGAGTAACTTCTTGGCAAGTTTCATGCTTTTGTTTTGTCCAAATGTTCTCTCTAATGAATCATAGGCTCAACCTCACCCAAGCTTGTCAGTGGTGATGGGTTTTCTAAACGAAGGGAATTGGAGTACAAATCATCAGGTGAGAGAGAAAAGAAATGGCCATTCAACTAAATGTGCAAGTTAGTGAGGTGCCATGAATATAAATGTCGCTGGAATAAAATATATAGACTCTATCCTTCAGTATTCTTTGATTTTGAGTGTGGAAATCCTATACGCCTGGCCTTGAACTCTAGCCTCTCCATTTAAAAATTATGTGAGACAAGTTACTTAACTTTTCAAAGCCTCAGTTTCCTTATCTATAAGATAGCTAATGGCTGCCACTGCTAACACCTAAAGATCACTTATTGTATCATTTCTGATCTTCATTTCAATGTTGATTATAAAAGACTGGGTGATCTGTCTTAACGTCAGTGTGCTCTGGCCTCGGGTGCAGGCACTATTTAAAAATCATAGCAGATGAAAGGGAATAAAAACTGAGTGAAACTGTCATTAATTTGGCATTTTATAAGCAAGTTCTCTCTGGCAGTCGATTCATGCTGTCTGTTAAAGTAGCCCAACTTTTCATTTTTATTTTATTTTTTACATCTCAATCTTTCGTGACTTAAAAATGATGACATCTGAACATTTCTCAAGCAGTTACTGCATATTTATGAAGAACAGTTAATCTGGAAAAGTAGAGAGAGAGAAATCATAAAATTTTAGAGTTGAATGATTTTCAGGCTCACGTACAGTAGAGGAATTTGAAACTCAGGCAAGCTCTGTTCCTTGCCCAGCATCAAATATTAGTAAGAATGATACAGAGCAACTACTACAAAATTGTCATGCTTCAGTGGGGGGTCTTGGGCTGGTTCCATTGTATCACATCTAAGGGTGAGGTACAGGGTAAGGTGATTTTTCTCTTCCACATACTTTCTTTCTGCAGGTGTCAGGGGCCATCTAGATGCCCAGAAAGGGTGTTCCCACAGGTCACAGTGCATGGGGATCCAGCAATGTCCAGGTCACAGATATGTGAAGCTCCCATCAGACGGCCAGCAAGATGCTGGCAGTACAAATGGTGCCCCCTGCTGGACACACCTGGAGCTCAGCTACTGGATACCACACTGAGACATAAGCGCAGCTCATGTCAACAGAGTAGATGGGATGAGGGAGCTTTCCTGGTTCCCAAGGGTGTGGGGTCCATACAGTGGACCCCTAACGGGATGATGCTCCACAGAAGATGGAAGGCCTCTGGAGGTGGCCTTGTCTCCCTTTGGCATGGCCCCTCCAGGTCTGGTTCTCCTCTCTGAGCTGATCCTCTTCTAGCAGCACCCCTATCTCTCCTTTTCAACTCAGAACATTTACTCTAGACTAGGGTGGAAAATGTTTCCACCTTATTCAACTCATCCACCCCCAAATCTATTTTCTATGCCAGAGAGTCCACCCATTTCCTGGGGCTTAGAATGGTCTCCTCCTTGTGAACTCTGTGCATTCTTGCTGTGTTATTACTCCAGGAGTAAATGACCACAGAATATCTCTGATAAGTGAAGAAGGGCCAAGAGAGAAAAGGGAATCCTGAGAACAAAAATGCATGTGTGTACATTTTCTTTTTTACAGATTTTATTGGAGAATTGGGGGAGGGGAATAGCATTGGGGAATTGGGGAAGGGGAACAGAGAAGTTGCTGTCCTTTTGTTCTTCAGTCTAGTTGTGAAGGACATCACTTTACTGGCCCATGTTGGTATTGTGATCATTGAGCTCTTCCCAGGTGAGGCAGTCACTAGACGGCCGCTCACAGCGGCTCACAGTGGCTCACAAAAGCGCACGCCCGCTGCTGGCCATCCCCACTGCAGCCTAAACCGTCATCGGCGACTCATGGCAGCCCAGCTCCAGGTCGAGCTGTTGTTCACCATCTTAGGTGTAGAGGGTGCAGCATCACTGGCTCTCATATGTGGGATCTGAACCCGGGCCCTGCTGCTCAGAGCTGGCGTCCTAAGCCAACTCCTAACCAGTGCGCCACTCAGCTGGCCCTGGAAATATTTTCGATTGTCATGAATATGAGGGTGCTGCAAGCTAAACATCCTACAACATGCATGTAGCCACCCTCCCCCCCTCCCTCCGGCCCCCACAATAAATAATTTTTTATCCCAAAATGTCAGTAATGCCCAGGTAAAGAAATCATGGGCTACTATTATGCATTAGTAAGTTGAAGAGAATTTTGTCATGAATGGGTGTTGCATATTTATTAAATGCTTGTACTATATCCGGATAATCATGCTTATGTGATAAGCTGCTTATGTGGTAAATTCTAACAATAGATTTTCAAATGTTAAAAGCATTCTTTCCTTCCTGGGGTAAATTCTGCTTAGTCCAGAGTAGTTGAAATGCAGATTGGGTCCCTCAAATGCCCTTCTGAAGGCTTTCCATGGTTTCTAGAAGAAGAAGAAAGTCTTTAGTGTAAAGTCAAGCATAATCTAGGCTGTCAGCCCCCTTTCTTGCCAGTTTTCCCTTAGCTTTCCGGCCACTTGGCCAAGCACCTATGCGCTTCTGGGGGCTTTGGCACACCACTGTGTTCAGTGCAGGGAAACACTTCAGCATCGCCTGGCCCCACGGCCATCTTCACTCATCTCACATCCTTGGCCACGTTGTATATTCCTGCCGACCCTTTATTGTTTCAGTCAAATACTCTTTCCTCATTTCTTCAGGGA